GTTCATATCAAATTTTTTCAAAGTAAATGAGCAGAATTGAAGAAATATAAAGAAGGCCGTGAACATGAATAGACAAACTCTATATGAAGATTTCTTAAAATGTCTCATTAGAGAGTAAGATGCTCAGAGATTGAGGAATAATTTTGATCAATCGTGGAAGGTCGAATTGAATTTTGGATTAAAACTAAGAACTGGGAAGACAATTTGCTGAAATAAAATTGTCTGTTGGATAATGAGGAAAAATCAGGTCAAGTCGTATCGTGAGATTCATAACAAAATGAAATCAAAACTATATAGCATAAAAACAGAATGGCGAGTGTCAGTCGGAAACTCTCACCAAATAACACGCGAACAAAAAGCGGAAACGTGCAAAAAAGCAAGGCTCTAAAATGGAAGTCCATGCGCATTGATCAGAGCACTCGGCGGGAGCAAGGCTACTCCGCGCTGCCGTGGGGTTGACCCTGCCAAGAATGCGGGCTCCAGCCACGTACGTTGGTAGAAGGGCAATCTAGGAACCGCTGCTGAGGCGGCACTTGATATAACAGAAGCCGGCAGTGAAACAACCAAAAGGAAACCGTCGAATTCTCATAAAAATGGGAAATAGTTTGGGTGCAAAATATAAATGTTTAAACTGCTTATAACAAAAATTCTGATAATATCAGGCATTATTGACCATGCATAAGTATGGATTTATTATTTAATCATTATGGAGATATCTTGAATCTAATACACGAACAGAATAGACATTGGGGAATGGAAAAATACAGATCAAAATGCCTTACTCAGGAAAAGCACTAAGAGAGTAGGCTAAGTTGCAGTATGAACTTCGAAGTTCGGCTTTAATAAATGTCGTTTAACATTCGTCGTCAGAAGTTACAACATCATAGAAAATTTTACACAGGAATGATCTGAAAACCCCATATGAAATAACCTAAACTCGATTTCATAGCTCTGTCTTGATCAGCCACTTGAAACTGAGATCACATAGTCGGAGTGCGTGCCGAGCACAAACCTTTAATCTTATACAGTAAGTACGGGGCAAAACTGCATCAGACCCACACTATATACAAAATTGTACGCAATTGTGCTCACTTATACGTTCAATAGGCACGTGCTTCCTTGTACGAGTCGTGCAAACAAAAGACTGTGTGCCTAAAAGCTGAGCGAGACTACAGCAGCGTTGGAACTACTCCGTAGCTACGTCATAGAACTCGTACACTGAAAAACTGCTGCGATGAATACAACCGATGTATTTAAAGAAACACACCTCAACTAATCTCTTTTTCGAGGAAAACCGTTTTCGAAATAAATCAAACTGTGTATGTACCCGCTTTACATCGTGCATAGTTAAATGTCGATCAGCTAGATATTATTGTTTAGAAGTCGATTGCGAGACCATTAAGAGACTTAATCAGTGCAGGATGGAAAACCTTTCGGTAATCGGTATTGAAAAGAAACTCGATTCTTTCTTTATATATTCTAACTTGAGCATTGATTATTTCTTTAGCTCTCGGCCGGGCGGCCCTATATGAATGCAAAAATGAAAATATTTCATACTACGGCGAAATAACGAACACAACGGACGTGAAGAGAAGTAATAAATTTACTATTGCGCTGACACAGCTTAATTTGTTAAAATAAAAGGACTGTATAAAAAAATAACAAGAAGGGTGCACACAGCGTGATTGAACGTCTGCACAATTGCGCCAACCGCAAAGTAATTGATAAACTCGCCAATAAAAATTCCAATAATAAAGAATCATTCTAAAATCTATGCCCAAAGTTAATGAAAAATACTCGATTTGTCCAAGGCAATTGGCAAAACGCAGAGAATCGAAGAAGCGTATCATCAATTCTCATTTTCTGAATACACAAGATCCTTGGGATCACAATACGAGACAAAGGTTCACTATTACGAACAAGACTCAGAGCGATAGAGTCGCACACCCTCCCTCCACGGCGGTTACTCGCTAACTGACACAAGGATGCTCGAGGCCACACCGCAACCTCAGCGCACCCTACGGCACCTCGCTCAAGCTAAGCTGGCATAAACATCACAACACCAATCTTTATGTGCGCTATTGCCCAGGATGAATCAGAATAAATGTCACTAGAAAAATTCCTCTTGAATTAGTGAGAGCATCTACTTGGGCAGATTATATCATTTATACGGGACATCGCGAGACAACAAAGCACAGTCGTTTTAAAACTTAAGTTCGTTATTTCAAAATTATTCGTATACTGGATGAGTATAAAAATCTCTCCAAATTATTTTATGGATATTTTTGAACTTTTTAAACTTAAATTTTGATACATACACGAATTAGAAATTTTGAAAAGATCCCGAAAGATTGTCGCTCACAACGCTGCTGCGTTTATTCGAACTAAATGCATTACAATGGCAATCTAAAATATCACTTTTGCGCCAACTTTATATCTGAGAAATAACATTGACTATGCACAAAGTTTGCAGCCAGAGAATTTATAGATCACACATTCACACGGCTTATTTACTACGTATGCTCAGATTAGGACAGCGGATACACGTCATTTGGGTACAGGAGCGGACACTGTTCAGCGAGCGGCGTTAGCAGAGGATTCGTCGCCTTAGGAGACTAGCAGAATAATAACATTCGATTATGTGTCGCCCAGGTAGTAAAATAAAATTCGTTGTTAACAAGCATGCAATAATATGTCACTAGGTTGTAAGGATTAGTTCAGAAGACCAAGTGGGCGGCAGAACAGGCGCATAAACGCTTATTACGGACGCTAGCCTTGGCTTCTTGACTCCTGGCCGGCGCTGCCGCATCATATAGGGCAAACTTTAGCCCAGTCCGACCGATAAAAAAATCTCCATGGGGGATTGGTCAGACTAAAGCTTACTTTTGTGATAAAATAGAACAGATTTCAGGGAAAAAATATTCGTAGGAATTAGAACGAAGAATGAAGTCCTTGGAGTGATCCTTTGAAATAAAAATCTTCAGTGGAGGTTTAGGACAAAAATTTAGCACCTGAAACTACAAGTCTCATAGACTAAATTCTAGGGAGCCCTTTGATTAGAAATACAATACTTAGATTTTTGACATTCTTTGTGCTCATAATGGTCACAAATTATATTACAGGGAGTTGAACACTTAATAATTTTGATGGAAACATCTGGTCGGTAAATATACCAACAACTCTTATCTTTTAATTAAGAGGCCTAATTGAAAAAAGTTTGGATGTGAAATACTAAACATAATCGAGATCAAGTTTAGCTTGTGGAAGATGCTGGAGCGCTTATTCAATGTAATAAGTTACCCTATCCGTCATTTTAGATGCAGTTGTTGATGTTGTATTGTTTTTGCTGATATGCAGTGGCATTAACAACTCCTGAAACTCGCTCACCTTCGTCAACAAGCATCTCTTCTGTGAATTTCTGTGTGAATAGCAGAGAGGCATGGATATATAACGGCATGGCTCCCAGGTGCGAACGATAGCTCAACAATGAATTCTTACTGTATGAAAATGAAGGCGGTCAAAAAATACAAAATAAATGCTCAACAATTTCCTTGTGAATTGCATGAATAGAAACAATAGAGTTAAGAAATATTCATGTGTTCGCGTGCACTGAGTATACTCATACACATGAGGATCCAGCGTCCATAAAAAGGAATGCGGGATTACAATATTTCTTGAAAATGATGTAGAATCAACAACCTCGTACACAACTTTCACTTGCCATAACAAGTGAAATAATCTGGATAGGTCACGAATGGTAATACAAATTAGAATCTTGACGAGTCGCAAGCCCACAACGATAATATAAATAACCCCTCAACTGGAATTCAGAGAAAGTGAATAATGAACACAAACGCACATCCCAAATACATAAAAGTTGTCACGCCCCCACTACCATAATGTCGCAGAGGTGGGGTGAGACGAAGTGCAGTACGTGTCATTGAATTACGTGTCAAGAATACATTAAGATCTGCATCGATATCAACACGCCGTGGCTAAGCAAACGAATAACTACGTGACCGGGTTTTTTTAAGAAAGCGAAAATCGAAAGTAATTAAATCAGATGAATAAAATTTTATTGTATATTCACGAGAAACTTGACAAGTGAACCGTTTTGAACGTTAACTAATTTATTTTCTGTTCATAATTTTTCAAAGCAGAACAACCTACAATCTAGAATGTTCAAGCGTAACCTAAATGGTTCAAGAGCGCAGATAATTAACTCATGATAAAAGAACAGATCGAAGAGCAGGATTGAGATAATTTACGAGCGCAAGCAGATACGCGTGCGACGAGAGTTTAGGAGTCTCCCAGATAGCATGCAGACGGGTTCTCCACCCTTACATGATAGAGCGCGCTGCTCCATAGATGCAACTAATGCCGCTATGAAATAGAACGGTCCTGTGGAGAAGCATGACGAGTGCGGATAATCTGAAATTCGTGCATGTTGTTTTGTCAAACATGACGGGACATGTAAGACTAAGAAGGTCTTCGATCGTACGACACCAACAAAGAAGCATCGAGATAGCAACTTACATTGTTGAAAACATTCGGTATTAACATGCAACGAGAATTATTCTACGTAATCGTTAAAAATTCGTTAAACTTACCTCCAAGAGAAGAATTTAGGGCCATATCTCATAACGCTTAAAAACATTATGACCATATTGTAAACATGAAATTCACGTTTGCGTACTTATCTTAGGTAAAAATGCAATCGACTTGATAAGTTCAATTAAAATTGAAAAATAGCCAATCGTCAAGTTTTAAAAATCTTTTAACGTTCGTTTTATCAAATCTCAAGCTGCGTTTTCGAATAAATTCGTGATAAATTGACGTTTGACATTTTTTCACAAATTTAGAGCATTGATGAACGTGCTGCTGTATCCACAACGTTACTGTAGGTATAGCAGCACAATGCACTTTCAGTTTGACAATAAATCTAAGTTATAAATATGAAGAAAAAAACAACTCACACGCAAAGAAAGGCGATTACTTACTCAAGTTTACTGTTGTCACAATCTTCGGATGAGTCACGCTTGCACATGAGAATAGGAGGCGTCTTAGGTAGGCTGTGATCGTAGTCAGCATGCATCGGATTTAGTGTGGATTCAGATGAATCCAAATTATTCAATTCAAGATTGTCATGCAATCTTGGATCAGAACTGCCGTCAAAGTTTATAGGGCAATCGAATGATCCAGTTTCTGAGGCAGTTTTTGGGCCGCAAATTTTTGAACTGGAACGCGAGATTTCAGAGGGTGGAGGAGGTAAAGGTTCTTCATCCGGGAGTCCAGTGACTTCAAGTTCACTTTGTTGAAGAGGAGGAGGTGGAGGAAGCTCAGGTGTAGAAGAGCGGGAAGTTTGCAAGGCAAAGCTCCTGATGGTAGGAGACAGAGGTGCTGCACTGTTGCACTGCTGATGTTGACTAAAGTTCGGCAACGATGAAGGACAAGGGCTAAGATTGACAGGGTGACTAAAATTTCTTCCAGGAATACGATGCAAAGAGTGCATGTACTTAGAATTTGGCACATCTTCGTTAGAAAGAGAATCGCACTGCGAGGTCGACGGTTCAGTAACGAGTCCAGCCCCTTCGGATGAAGGAGGATCTGGTGCTGGAGGTCGTCGGTAGTAATATGGACGACCGCACTTGGACGCGTCATCGCTGCCAAAACTAGAGGGAGATGTCGCATCTTTTGGTGAGGCAGGAAAATGAGGCCTGAGAGTCGGCTTCTTTGGCGGACGCTCAGGAGGTCGAGGAAGATCCTCGAAAGCTGTTGGAGGGAGAGCCGGCTTTCTGCTGGCAGCGGTGGACCTAAGAGGAAGAAGATTTGGAATAAAAATTCACGAAGTGAATCAATAAATCAATACTATTCATCAATGAAATCAAAAGTAATTGCACGTTGCAGTTATTTTTTGCGTGAAATCAGAAGTTAAATTGCAAATATTCGAGGTTATTACGCGCAAGGGGAAAAAGGTGCGAAATGGAAAAAGCACAGTAAATAAGCAGGACTATCTCTTGTGCGCTGTGGAATATCGCCATAATAAAACATAATATTTCATATAAAATGATACGCTTGCAACAGGTGTATGCAACAGCTGCAAAAAAGCATTGTAGAAAAAAACGCCCTCTATTTTGCATTGATAATCCAGAGTGTACATCGAAAATGTAGCGAGTTACGATTAAGGAGCGTGGAATGAAAGGATCATGAAGTGATCGGTCGTCGACCGTGGCGAGACGAAGCAACATCGACTTCTATTGTGATCAGGGTATCGACAAAATCAGCAAACGTTTTTGCCACAAGCATCGACAATAGAATGAATAATGAAGCCGCGGCGCCGGAGACGAGGTAAATTTCATCATGAAGAACTGAAGGCCAGGCTCATACCTATTGGTTAGACAGTTAAAAACACTATAAAATATTGAAAATTGGGAAATGCGTTTTTCAGAAAGCCTGATATATAAATAGTATAACAAAATTTAAGCGAAATTTTAAATTAAGTAACGCAAGATTGTCATCGAAATAACTGCGATATAAAGCTTGAAATGATAACGCCTGCAGGCTGAACAAGTGAAACAAACGTGATGCTAATATGTAAACATGAGGAGGTGGAAATAATGAAAGAATCGTCATTTATTACAAAAAACTGGAAAATTCCTTCCGAATACCACCTAGATTATAAGAATTTTTTAGTTGTTGGGATAATCCAGACACTCATAGGAAAGGTCCTCGATTAAGACCAAACAAAAAATTCAAGACAAAAAATGCAGCATCGAGCAGTAAAAGTGACCATAAATTTATTTCATAGGTAGCGGCACTGTTAATGGCAGAATATGCGTGATGAATTGATAACAAAATGCGTGTAATGATATAGCAAGAAGCCAGACAGATAAATGAAGATGGATGAGCTAAGCACACTACGAATGGCTGAAGATGCGCTCATCCTGCACGCAGCGGGATCCTCATTTGTTGATTCGGCGGAGCGCGATGATGTTACAGGAATTAGGGGCAGGTTCCATAATCCAAGCTTGACAGGCGTTGATCACAAAGCGAACGATGAAATGACACTGCGATCTTCATGGCGTGACAGCATGTCAGTCAGGTACGGAATATAATATCCCTAAATCCCTAGAATTCTTCCTCAATCAGAAAGCGTTAAGCAGTGCAATCGCCTAGTACTTAACAACTTGGCACTCTAGAAGCACCCTATATTAGAAAAAAAAGCTTTATATAGTCCGGCAGTGAACGAAGCTTCGTGTCTGAACGCTGAAAGCTCAACTATGTTCTCCAACACAAAAATACAGTAAAAAGAAATTACCAAACTGCTCTCAGATTCTATTTCAAAGTTTTGTAACAGTAAAATATCTGTTAGTTATTAGATGGGGTAATTTAAAAATTACCCACCCCAACGGAGGCCAAAAATTACGGATAAAAAATTAACACAGCCCAACAAGCAATCCAGATTCATTATTTCTAATAATAAAAAATAAATAATAATAAAGTTAATAATAATAATAAAGTTACTAAGACTTCAGCATACATTTAAACTGAATTGATGATTGAACGCTGATCGATATGCAGTTACGACAACGAAAGATATAACGAAGTTTTTAACACCGTTATGAGACGGACGCACATTCATTGACGAAAAGAACGAAAACTCACACATACGTCATTTGGCAACTTTCAATTCATGCACCAACACAACCTAAAAATTTTGCTAAGTTCCACAAACTTGATGTAAATTAAAGAATATAATAATAGCTTACAAATTAAATGAAGTGCAATAGAAATAAGACGGGGAAGAATTACGATGGATTGAAGACGAATAGAAATGACGACTAGTCACAAATCCGGTAACATACGAGCAGGCAGGAATGCTATCAATGATTAAGACGTTCGGAGGATATGCTTGCAGTTATAGGAGCATTGCAACACCTCATACACTGTCGATAACAAACTTATCATGCATGAGAAAGCCCGTGGTTTCAATCACGATAGCTTCATCGTACGTGACTTCAAGCAAGTTCTCATGGCAGTCTGTGAACGACCATGACGCACGTCGAGCTCATCTGCTGCTTCTGGCGAGAATATCCGATTCCGGTAGCGGATTGGTGACTAAGAGCAAGACCACTTGAATGTATTGCAAGCGCAGACATTAACCATAGATATAGATAATAAACTAATTTATTTGTGCAAATACGAGTAGCTTCGCATTATGGGTTAATCTCAAGATTACTTCATTAGAATAAAAACTTTTGTTAGAATTAAAGAGGCATGGATAACCAGTCAGAAACACTCGCACTTGATGATTATAAATGAAATTGATTTTTATACAATAATCATGATGTCAGTAGATACAAATAGAGATCAAGCGGAACAATCAAAATAGCAATGGAAAATAAGACAACATGGAACAACACAACATATTTGGCTCTTTAATCATGCTTCACAAGTCAAGAGCAAGCTGTCTGAATGTTTCAATGGACACGTGGAATGATGAGTTCTCGCAATGTCAGCAATATTCAGGAACATCCGCAATAACCAAATGCGGCCACATGCTAATCTCAATTGAACTGAACAACATAGCAGATTAAAGATTTTTTTCGTGCCACCAACCATGGCATGCCTTACCTTGGGCATTCACTGAGCGCGCCTCTCCGTTCTGAGAGCTCTTATCCGACACTCAAGACCACCATCGAAACAAATGACTATGCCACCCATGAGGGCCGTGAGGCAAATAAGAAAACCAATCAAGCGTTATATAATTAGGTTGATGGCCATTAAATGACACAAACAATAGTAATCGTAAGAATTTTTTACTGATTTTTTTCAAAACCTTACATATACAAATCACGCGAATGACTTGAACGGAATCAGACAGGAAGGAAAATAATAATTTTTCGAGACAATTTATTTTGATAAAATATCTGAAACAAAAATAAGATATAATCTATATACATTATAATAAGCATCTAGCAATGCCCATCCTAAATCGGACCTTGGTAAATAAAGTGTTGGGGAGAGCACGCTCGTATAGGCAGAGATCGGAGGGTCGCTTATCGGGGCTAGGAACACTGCGCAGGTGTGGTCTTCTGACACTTGGAATGCCGTCAATAAATACGAGTAGCTTGAATGGCACCAACGCATACATTTCGCGATAGAGAAGCCACTTGAAACTACTGAAAGGAGTGAAAGGACACATGGGGCTGCCACCCACACAGTGGCAACACATGCAAACGCATCATGTGTCCAAGTGTTTGCAAAATTTGTGTCATGTGAACAAACGTTGAAGCAAGAAATAAGGCAGATACGGATTTGCAGTAGATTCATAGCATAACTCAATTAACGATACAAGATGGTACACGTACACGTGCATCACTGTCATGTCGTTAGTTCGATCGGTGATAAAATCGCATGTATAGATCCATATTGACCTCACAATTGAAGGAATGGCAAAGAGAAGAATAAAGCTAAAGAAACACAGCGGGAAGCAAAATCTCTGCTGACCACTCGAGAAATCAAGCAGTTGGTGTGCAGTAGAAAACACGAACTGTTGACAAATACGTGGACAAATTTAACGATCAAGTCTTCCATGTAACGAACGAGTGCATGAACTGAGATGTGAAAGCTTGATTCAAGCAGTAAAACGGATAAACTTTATTCAAACAGTAAAACGGACTCAAGAACGAATATAAATATGGTTGTTTACGAAATTCTTTAAAATTTGCGAGAAACGCAACACGCAAGAACACTGTCTAAGAAATAAGTGTCCTCGAGCTTTAGCCTTTAATTACTAACTGAAGCAGCATGACGATACACGTGGAGAAGCTGATTGTCAGCATGTATAAAGACTGAATAGAATGCACATTTTTTTCTACTGATTGAAATCAAAACGAAGTATGATTCGCTGAAAAGCGAATTAAAACCTGTAATAAATTAAAAATGCAGAATTCAGTATTTAATCTATACTATTTCATTTGTTCACTAGGCAGACGCAGAAAGAACTAACTATATATACCCAAACTCTACACAAATGATGCTACCGAGCAAACTGTCTTCAGCTTAGCATCAAAAACAATGCACCAGCTAATCAATATTAATGAATACAGATTTTATGATGCAAGAATTCGATAACAATTTAACGGCGCATTAAAATTTTGCGGCCCTTTAACAATTTTCTTCAAGGACTTGTGAATTAACTCGACAGCATTTAATGATTTGTTTGAATACGGGGAGCTCCAAATTTGGGTACTATAGATGGCATTTCAAAACACGATATAAAAAATGTGCACGGAGTCTGTGCGATTGCTAGAAGTTGAGCACATATTCTTAGAATTAGAGAGGCAACACAAATCAATACTTATATACAAATTAAACGTTACGTTTCCTGCTACAGGAAATAAAAGAGCCGAGAAATTTCTATGCGGAATGATGATATTCATGTTATGAGAGTTGTAACATGAAATAAAATAACATGCGTTAAGAAATTACTTTTTAATGACAACACTTCTAAAGAATCCAGTGTCTCCGATGCTGCACATGTGCAATGAATTTTTAATTTTATTTTTTTATATAGTTAAAAAAATTGCGTGTGCGTGTCAAGGTTTTCTTGCTCCTGTCACTTGAAAAACGCAAATCAAAATAAACAAATATACCACAAAACCAAGAGAAAGTGTCAAGTACTCAGTTTGATAGACCGATTTTATTGCTTGACAGCAGAAATTTAAAAGTTTATGGTATAGAAAGTCTTCCAATGTTCAACTTACAATGCAACGTTCACCATACAATAAAACAAATAAGGCGACGAAAT